CTTTTGGTAATTTAAACTGTTGTCCATGTGTTGCCATACAACCAGTTTCATAATGTTTTGTTAATAAATCCTTTCTAGTAAAGGCATGAGAACAATAATGACAATAATGTTTTGGTTGGTCATTTTTGTTTGTTTGCCAGTTCATTAGACGACTTAGACTTTTAATAACTACATAATGATTATTATTATTGATTTCAATTTTCAAAAGGTTTATTTGATGTTTAGCATCTCTTGTTTTAGTTCTGTAATCAATTATAATTTTCTTTTCATTCAAAGTATCATCAATTTCATAAACATTGATTGAAACTAACTTACTATTATTTTCTTCAAACCTTTCAATATCTTTATTACCAGTTGGAAATTTAACACCTTCCCAGTTTAAGATATTGTCATTTAATTTGTTGTAATGGAACATTTCTTGGGAATTTGATTTATTAATTATATCAAACACTACACTTTGAACACTATATTTAAAACATTTGTTATCTTTGTTTTTGATATTAATACATGCCTTTTTTAGTTTAATCCATTCTGGTAAATCTATATAACTACCCGCCCTAGTTGGGTCATATTTGTCATAATGGATTGTTATTGATAATATTTTTTTAAATTGTAAATTAGACGCTGAACCTTCTAGTTTCTCTATGTTCAATAAAATCTCTTTGATTGATTTTTCAATTGCTTCATCCAAATCGGTTTCATTATATATGTTTGCCCTTGTTGCAGGTAAATTATAAAGTATCTCTGTATGTTTTATTACTCCATCATCATCATAATAATGATAAAATAAACCTTCTGCCCTTATATTCAGTTTCATTGCTCTATTAGTTTTCAAAAAGGTCAAAAGTCTATCTTTTTGGTGGTGTATCATTGATAGTGCCTTTTCACCTTGAAAATGTTTATTTACTAGTTTTATAGAATTAGCATAACTTTTGAAAGCTGATTGTTGGTCTGTTACTTGGAATTTATTTTTGATTGCATATTTTGTCATTGCATTTTTCATTCTTTGTTTTAGGTATGTTGAGCGCAATGTTTTTGTTGCATAACTATTATACTCATTAGTTCTTGCTTCTGATTTTAATTTCTTGTTCAAAACATTTGAGATGGGTTTTTCTTTGTTGTATCTAAATTTTCTACCATCTATAATTATTGATTTTAATTCCTTGTTTCCTCTTTTTGGAATTTCCGCTTTATCATTATTCAACAGATAATCTATAACATGTTTCATAATACTATACTATATAAATTTAATGTGTTTATTTCTTTAAGTGACTTTTTAGAAAAATATACTTAAAGATTTAATACCTTAATATATTATAATAGAAATGGTTGAATTTACTAAAAAAGAGCAAGAAGAAATTATTAATGACTTTTTGAATAAAATAAAAGTTAATGACATTATCAGTAGTTGTAAATGTAAACTAATAAATGAAAAAACTGGACTAACTAAGTTAAATTTACCTAATCCAATTGTTAAAAACATTTGTGATTTTAATTATGTTGAATGCGAGAAATGTTTTTTATTAAGAAATGCAAAGCAAGTTTTACATAAAAGTAATTTACATTCAACATTGAGACAATGTATTTATGATAAATACAAATTGAAATTTGAAGAAAATACATTTCTAAATGATGACTCATCATTAAGAACATATTGTTTTATAAAGTTAAATACATTTCCTACATATGAAAAAGTGAAAAAATATATACTGCAAGATAACGAAACATATATTTTAAAATTTTATAATGATATTAAATATTACTACGAACAATCATATGAAGTTAGTTATGGTGGCAAAACTGGAACAACAAGACCAATTGAAGAATTTAATAATAAAATGATATTTAAATTTATTGATGAGTATGATTTATCAAATAATAAAATTGAAAATGATTGCAAGGAAACATTTTTAAACTACATAAAACAAAGAAACCAAGAATTGAAAATCATAATTGATAAAATATGTGATTATATTAAGGATGAACAGAAGAACAATATAATAGGTAAATTAATGTATGGTGATGTGATAAATGATATTAAAAGTGTTTTAGGAAACTGGAGCATAGGTTTTTGCATTTATGATTTTGCTGATAGAAAATATCCATTTAAAAATAATAAAAAGAACTTTAAACAAATACCAAAGATTACGAAGGAATATTTAAATACTAATGACTTTGATTAAAACCATACTATAATAATAACATGTAAAATCTTATATGTTATAATTATATTGAACTTATGGTTTGTTTCTTATTTTTCTTAATGCCTTAAAAATGACTTAAAGAAATAGTGCCTTAATATAATAAGAGGAAAATGAACGGTGATAAAATCAATAATTATATCAATAAAAAATGCTATGATTGTTGTCACTTCAAAAAAGAAAATATGGAATTGTATAAATTGAATTTACCTAATGAAACAGTGAATAATATTATTAATTATTCAATGGATGAAAAACACCAATGTGAAAATTGTCAGGAATGGAGAGATAATCAATTTTTAATCAAATGTCTGTTGAGAATAAAAGGAAGACATAATAGAAATGTAGAAGATGAGATTTTAATATTTCTAACTGTAAATAAAATACCACCAATACCACCTTATGATTATGTTAAACAGTTTCTTAAAATCAGTAAGAAAAAATATGAAATGATTTATGATATATTATGGATGTTGGGCTATAGTCAAGAGAAAGGAGAAGATGTTAAAGAAAATATCAAATTATTTATTGAAAGTAAAAAGTTTAATATTCAAAATACATTGAGAGATATTAATATTATTTTTAAAATGATGTATGAAAGAAGAAAGATTTGTCAATTAAATTATTATCCTGTACTGAAATTATAATCATACTATAATAATAACATGTAAAATCTTATATGTTATAATTATACTGTACTTATAGTTTGTAAAGATTGAAATATTTTATTTTTCTTGATTTGGTTATCTCTTTCAAAGTGCGTTGTTTGAACTTGGTATGCTCTTTTGATTTTTTCGTGCTTTGGCTGTTTGTTTTTTATTTTGTTTGATACTCTTCTGATATTTTTTGATGGTATGTTGCTTTGTTTTTGTTTTGTGTGTTTTTGAGTTTGTGTTCTTTGATGGTTTTTATTTTTGCTGTTTTGTTGGTATGCTTGTTTGAATTATTTAATGTTTTATGCTTTGATTAAATATTTTGTTGGGGGTTGTTCTGGTTTTTGAGTTGCTTGGTGGTTCTTATCTTGTTTTCTGTGAATTTTGCTGATTTTGTTGTATGCTGTTTGATTATTTGGGTTTGATGTTAGAAGTGCCATTTTATGTATTTTTGGGGGGGGGGGGGGGGGGGGGGGGGGGGGGGGGGGGGAGGGGGGGGAGGGGGGGAAATCCAGAATTCCAGAAATCCAGAGATCCAGAAATCCAGAGATCCAGAAATCCAGAAATCCAGAAATCCAGCTGACGTAGAAACCAGCCCCAAGGGCCGCCCCAAGGGACATATAGGTTATATATATATATATCTACATAATCATATTCACATTAAACTTATGGAAAGCATATCAACAAAAGCAACACAGAACACACCGCCCCCATGCCGAAAGCATGGTCCATTCTGGACCAGGCACGGGGTCGGCGGAGTCACCCGGGTTTTGATGACTCAGGTGTCCATTTTGGTGGTAGACCAGCTTCACTGCTAGTGGCAAGTTTGTTTTTGGGCAGGGGACTGCGGAAAAAAAAAGAAAAACAACACGGTTTGTTGCAAGCCCATACCAGGGGTTCATGGTGGTTGTTCTTTCATAATCCAGGGCCGTCCATTTTCCCAAAAGGGCATCATGGTGATGTGTGTCCAGCAACCACTAGAATAGGGCGTTGTTTCTTGGATTTTTATGGGCGAATCTCGTGTGGGAGCCGCTGCTGCTTGGTTGGACCTTTAGCCTAGAATTGCAAGGGAGGAAGGTTTGCGCGAGTGGGAAACCCACTAGGGCCACCCAGTACACATTCACTCTGAAGAATGGCACTCAATTTTAGCTCTAGTCGTGGACTGACCCTTTATTGGAGGGGTTTGTTGACCGGCCAAAACCAAGATCGAACATGCTGTGACAAGGCCGCCTAACTTCAAGTCCATTTGCGTTGCTTTGCTTCGCGACTGTTCTTCCTTGAGAGAAACCGCTGTGTTCCTCCTTTGGCCCCGGATCATGTTCCTTTTTTGCTGGGAGCTGAGTGGCGTACAGTTGGCATTCAGCTGTTCGAGGGCGCCAATTTGTTTTCTTTTCCCTTTTTTTGGGTGGCCCTAAAAATGGTCCAAGCCCCAAAAAAGGGTTCCTTTTTTTCCAGGGCCACTGAACTGAGCAGATGGGAGAACTCACCCGGCCGGCCCCGGAGCTCGGGACATGTTGGGCCCTCTCCTGGTGGCCTATGGCCTGCCAGCGGAGAAGTTTGGGTCGTTTTTGGTCCTGCTCGATGTGGATGTGAGACCTTAAGGTTTTAGGAAGAGTCTTTTTTAGGTGTGTTTTTTGTTTGTTTTACCGACCCCCATTGTTTGGCTTTCTTTCTTTTTTCCTTGACCCCGTGTTTTGGTTGAAGGTTTTGTGTCTTGTTTGTTTTACCGAATTCCATTTTTTGGCTGAGGAGATTTCAACGAATCGGGCTATGAGGTGTTCACTCCCCAAGCAAAGACCTTCGGCTCTGACTTGCCGAAAACCCTTCCTAGGGTTTCATTAGGTTTCGGGTTTTGGGTCTCGCTTTTGGGCTTGCTGTACTTCCAAGAAGTTGCATGAGGCCTTCCTGTTCATTGTTTGGTTGAGCCGTCTTCCATCAACTGGCCGGCTGCAAGAAGCAGATTCCGGAGATCACATTAAAAAAAAAAAAAAAACGATCCCCCCCAACAAAACACACACACACAAACAAAAACAAACAAACAAACAAACAACAAACAGCATATCCCAAAAAGAAACAGATCCTCAAAAAATCACTCCAGGAAACAGAACCCGCAAGAAAAAAATGACCAATCCCTTTCCAGCGCCAGGCATGGGCCTTGCCTCTGCGGTACTGCTGTTCCAGGCATCGAACCCAGTATCGGATTTCGGTGACCGGGAATCCCGATGGAGCATACCGCGTATGTTGCATCGGGGCTACCCCATTGTTTTGAAAAATTGACGTTTCATACTCTTGCTTCCCCACTGAGTTTGGGTGAGGAGTTTTCTGCACCAAGCGTTGCAGGGGTCAAAGACGAACTCAGCTTTACTGGCTGTTGATTTGTGGTTTGATACGTCGGGGCTTAAACTGGATCCTTTGATGTTGTACTGGGTCAAAGAGCCAGTGGGGCTCATTTGTGTGGTGTGTGTGTGTGTCTTTGGTGTGTTTGTGTTTGTGTTTGTGTTTGTGTTTGTGTGTGTGTGTGTGTCGTGCGTGCGTGTACGGGTGCATGCATGCGTGCGTGCCTGTGTGAGGTGTGTCTGTGTGTGTGTGTGTGCGCGCACCGTGCTGGATCACGAATGCTACGTAGTATATTTGGACTCGACTAACAAGGTGCACGGGACCGAGCTTGCTGATGCTACTCGGTCCAACGAAGCTCTGCATGAGAAAGGGAAGCATCCACTGGATGTATACCTGCAATATTGATCCTTCTGACATCTGTCTTGTGTTGTTGATGCTGTTGCTTCCGTGTTGTGTCACTGGTGTGTTTTGTTCTGATTCGTCGCAGTTTAAAGCTTATGTCGAGCATGATTTGCCTGCGAGTGGAACCCACTCTTCAAGTGTGTGTGTGTGTGTGCTTATATAGGGCCACGTTGGGAGCTGCATTCCGTTGAAGGAGCCGGTTGGGTTGGCGCTTTGCGCTCATGGTCGGTTTGATTTGGCTGGGACGAATGAGATTCCCATTGTAGTTGGTTCGCGTTTGAGGTAGGCTGGTGATGTGAACCCAGCAGTCGACCCCGTTTGCGCAATCGGACACGGGGCGGGTAACCTGGCGACTCAATTTTTCATGGCCCCCCTTACACTTGCTGGTGGACATAAATTCCCAAATTCCGATGTCCACCAAGGGGTCACATCCATACGAGAAGTTCCCCGGGCGTTTTGCCTGGTGTGCACGCCAGAGTGAGCCAGGCATTGCTGTGAGCGGTCTGCGGGTATTTAGGTCAAAGAGTGCAGCCGCCTTCCGAGCTCAGTTGGCAGTTTCTGGGGATTCAAGCGCTGGGGCGTTTCCCTTTTACCTATCCTTGGAGGCGGCTGTGAAAATGGAACGGCAGCCAAAGCTGTTGCCCTGACAGTCAACAGCTGCCGGGATTGTCGGGATATTGCCGGCAGGGCAAGTGAGGGAGTGTTCTGGTTGCGTTTATCTCAAAGTGCGGTTTCCTGTCTCATCTTCGTCCTCGCAAACAAAAAAAAGAGAAGAGAATCAACAACAACACACACAGAGAGAAAAACACGTGATGTTGAAGCGGTCCTTGGATTTGTTTTGGCCTTGGCCTTCCCTTCAAACACCCCAATTCCTCAGCTCCCAGAGGGCCCTGGTGCCGAAAGCCATGAGGCCTTGGCTCGGGCTCGAGGCCTCGCGGGCTCGAGGGCTCAAGACGCGATGCGCAGAGAGCAAAAGGGGCGCCCAAGGCCTGGGGGTTGCGGCGGGAGTCTCGTTTTTGGAGGTTCCTGATATCGGACTTGATACCTTTCTGGGAAGACCATTTTCGTGCTAAACAAGTTCCTCGCTTCCTGTGTTCCTGGACTTTGTACTTGCTGAAAGAAGACCATCTTAGTGGCAAGCCAAAAGTTCCGGGACTGTTTGGGGCTCATTCCACTCGATCGGAAGTGGGAAATGTGTGCGTGGACTCAGTTCCCGACTGCAATTTTCTACTGGTAGCTGCCCCGTTCTTTCCAGGGATCCTTCTTTCCAGAAAACCATCCAAAACCCCGGGGAAACGGATCCGGTGATTGAAAAAAACAACGACGGTTGAAAAGAAATCAACCCCTAGAAAAAAACATCAACCCCTAGAACCCCCTTTCTGGTGATGGAAAAGGAAAATCCACCCCTCGAAAGTCGAGGCGTCTCTGCCCCGCTGGGAGTCAAAACTGATGCCAGCCATCCGCTCCACTGAGGTCGGGGGCGGTGAACGAGCCTCTGAGCCTGCGCTTCGGCAACGCCAGCCTGGAAGCCGGCAAGGCCCAAGAAGCACCTGGGAAAAGAGCTGGGCGGGTGGGCCCTTTTTTGACCCCCCCCCCCCCTCGAACATGGCCGTGTTTTTTTGTTTGTTTTTTTGGTTTTCTGTATTTTCTTCATCTTGGTGTGGTTTTTCTTGAGAACAACGGAAAGTTGGGAAACGTGAAAAAAAAACACAGAGGTGAAGGGATAGATGGGAATCTGGCCTTAAACTAGGCACTTATCCAAATTTTGTTGGCTCCTTGGTTTTCTGTTTCAGTTGTCAGATACGAGGTTCGCCTGCCGCAAGTCTTGGGCCTAAAAGTCTTCGTAGCTCGGGCTCACCCATGAGGATCTGTTTCGCCTGGGGGGCAACGGACTTCTGTCGAGTTGATCAGAGTCTGCCCCAAGTTTCTCAAAATCGGAGCCGGTTCTTCCGAAGCCTTGAAGTTTTTAGTTGTTTTTTTGTTTTTTTGGCGTGAATCCTTGTGGCTTCAACGGGTTGAACTGATGCCCTGAAGATTTGAAGCTTGTTTTTCCTTTGTCTGTTTGTGAATGTTATGTTTTTTCTTCTTCTTTTTTCGTGAATCCTTGTGGCCTCCCTTTTTTGTCCACACCAACGTCAGGTGCGCGTTGACCGCTTGCCTTAAAAACGCGCCAGGCCTACACCGTGGGAGTGCGAGTGCTGAATCCCGGCGGCCGCCCGCCGGTGTGGGGGGCCCCGGGACCTCGGCATGGGGCGACTTAGGGGTGACTTCCAACCGTTCTTAGGCGAGCGGATTTCCATTTCTAGGGTTCAACAGATGCCCCCGGTTCTAGGGGACCCGTCCATTTCCATGCTTAAACCAGAGATCCGAATCTTTCTAGAAACCACCAAAAGCACCCTGGAAAAATGGCGATCGGTTTTGGAAAAGAACGATGGCTGAAAAGAATGGGGAATCAACCCATAGAAACGCGTGAAAGTACTTGTGAAAGGGCTAGGTCCCCCAGCTAGGTGCCCTTTTACCAACTTTTTTTGGGGGAAAGCACATGATCCGAGCTTCTGGTGAGATACTTTTCTGACTAGGTCCCTCAGCTAGGTGCCCTGAATACCAACTTTTTTGGTTGGGAGGGTTCCCACAGTAAAATAGACAACAGAAAAAGTTGGTACCCTTATTCTGGCCTCTCTACTGCAGGACCTAGAAGTGCCTTTCGAAAGGGGAAGTCCTGAAATTATGGGCGTGTCTTGTTTTGTAGGGGATGCCTCCCCCCCCCCAAAAAGAAGTAGTAATAATAATAAAAAATAAAAGTGACTTCGGGTTTCGTGTTGGTGTTCCTTGAAAACCGCAATCAGCTTGTACCCCGCAAAAAGGACACGCCCATGTCAGTTGCCCAGGTACTGTTCACTATTCAACTGATTCGATCCTCATACCTTTTTGTTCCGTGCAACAAGGGGCGTTGCTTTGGAAGAACACAACTACCAAACAGGGACAGGGCTCCTCAAAAGCATGGCTTTTTCCACTAAAATATAGGGAAACTACCATTTACAAGGCAATGTTCCGGTGTATAATGTAAGGTTCCCTGCAAAACAATCCCGTGAAAAGAGACACGACTACTCAGTTGTTCGGTGGCACCCTTTTTCTTTTTCCTTGTTTTTTGTAGCCCCACTAAAAATGGTTTTCCCCCAAAAGGGTTCCCTTTTTGTTCCAGGCTCACTGGACAACTGAGACTATGATTCTCGGGGGTCAGCAGTCACAGCTGGGGGCGAGATGTGGTGCCTGCCATTCTCCGGAAACAGGGAATTGGATTGAGGAAAGGGTTACTCGCTTGCTCTGAACACATCAAGAATTATCGGTGGATGAAAATCCAAACTCCTGCACAGCCCTCCAATATGAGAAGTCGATCCCTGAGCCGGCTGCGAGACGTTGACATGCTAGGTCTCCCAGTAGTGCCCCTTCTCACCCCTTTTTTGGTTGGGAGGGTTCCCCTAAAATAGACTACAGCAAAGGAACCAAAGCGCTACGGTACCCTTATTCGACCCTCTCAAATCTGGAGGGCCTAGTGCCTCTTTCCCTTGTGGATTCTCTTTGCTGCCCGGTCGCAGACCGTGCCAGGGACACCAACTACTGGGGCATCTCCCTTCAGGCCGGGACGCCTTGCCGCGGCAACCAGTTGAGCCTTAGCCCTGGTTGGCTTGGTGTGCAGAACCCAATCCCCGTGCCACAAATCGAGTTGCTTGAGGGGTGTCAAAAGGAAGTTTGACACTCCAAATTCTATCAGAAATTTCTGGGGCGGAGATTACGGGGCGGGCTTCCGTGCACCATCAAAAAACAAACCCGTAGAACATCTGCCACAAAGGCTTCTGGACGCATTTGCGACCCCGGTTTCTTGCTCGGGCGTGTGTCTGATTCCCCACATTTCACCCAGGCACACGTTCCTATTAATAAGCTGGGGTTGATGAATATGGGCTCAACCTTACACTGTTCCCAATTCACGATCTCAATCTCTGAACAGTACGTTCAGAAGTTCACCTCCTTGGGATGCTGAATAACCTTACCCAGCTGTGGGAAGAAATTGGGGCAGTAACCTAAGAGCTTTCTGAAAAGTGGGATCTTTGGGCCCTTTTGGAAGGATAGACCCTCCAATGAAAGCTGACTGGGCGGGTTGGAGAGCGCCTGGACAGAAGCTGCGCTTTCAACGACGTAGCTTCGCAGGACCACAATCGCGCCACCTTTGATGCCAACCTCCGCATTCCTGGGCGTGTGGCCCCAGCAGTTGCAAGGATGCAGTAGGCACTGCAGGAAGACTCTGTTGTTCAGTGGCACCAATTATTTTTCCTTTTTGTGGGTGGCTGCCCCACTAGAAATGGTCTTCCCCAAAAAGGGTTCTTGTTTTTTTCAGGATCACTGAACACGTGAGAAGAGGATGGCAACCTATCTCCTTTCATGCTGAAGGGTTACACTTTCTTGCGGATTCCTCATTTCAGGTCTGTGAATTTTATAACCCAGATCGTTGCCTGAGCCCCACGTAGACATTTGTCATGCGCCAGGTTCTTGGGCAACCCCTCTGTTTTTTGCTTTTTAAGTTCACACATGCTTCGAACCGGACATCCACACTGAGAGGGGGGTCGGTTCGTAAATCCCTCAAATCATGGTTTCATGTGTCATGATCGAGATGCGGAGTGCTCTCTTCAACCCGACCTATACTGTGGATGGGCAAAATTATGCACCACCGAAGCCAACGTCCTCTGTAAATTTCGACCCACGTTATGGGTTTCATCCCCATGGTTTCATTTCGTGCCGTGGGTTTGGTCCATCCCGCAGCTTCATTCCCATGAAAATCTCACCGGTTTCTCCGAGCGCGCCCGGCTCACGCAGCCGGGTCCAGCTGGAGAGCTCCCGGATTTTCAGGACGCAAAGGAAGACTTGGCGATCCGTTTTTTGCGTGGCCTTGAGACTTGACTATGGTTTGGACAGTGCGGAAAGCAGATTGAGCTTGGGTGCATTTTGCCAAGGGCTGTTAGGACTTTAACCTTTTGCCAACTAGTGGGGTTTCCACTAAACCACTGAAGGTTATTCACTTTTAGCAGGGGAGCAGATTTCGCAACCGAGTGAGTGTCTCTTCTTTTGAAGGTGCCCTTTTGTTGAAGCAGATCGTTTAAAAAGGAAACAAAAGAAAAAGCACCGCCCAAAAGCCCATTTCCAGGGTTGCAATCCCGACACTTTCCCGACCAGTCAGATGGACAAAGCTCGATTCGCACCAGGCAGGGGGGTGATTTTTCAGTAGGGGCAACAATCAAAACCGATTCGGGTAGATGAAGGTTAGTAAGGGGCAGTCCCAGCCAGAAACAGTTCTGCGGGAATTCCGCCTTCATTCTTTTCATGGTTCTGGGTAGACCTTTTTAATACCGGGTTTTGATTGTGACTCACATAGGGGCAAACAATCATCACAACTGGTGCAAAATGGATTTCATCTATCCCCACCCTCTGAAACATGGAATTGGGGAAAGGGGGTCACCCATCCACAGGTATCCATCCGCAGGTGTCTTTTTTCTGGGGGCCCCCTCCATTTTGGTGGAAGCCGACCGTTTGAAGTTTTCGGCTGGTTCCTTTTTAAATCCTTTAAATCCCGCCCCCCCCCCCCAAAAAAAAAAAAAAAAAGAAAAAAGAGGAAGAACAAACACAAAACACAAAAACTTAAGACACAAAAAAAACAAAAAAA